ATGATCTGGGGAGTCGGACTGCTTGCTCTTTGGCCCTGACAGTCTCCCTTCATGAGGTTTGTCAGGCACAGAACAAGGCAGCATTCCTTCCTCTTACAAGCAGGTAAAGAGGGGACTGTGGAAAGAGGCAACCCTCCAATCCCCTGTGCTAGTAATGGCTCTCTTCAAAATGCTCCTTGTTCAGCCTCACCTTGTTGAAGGTGGACAGTTTGGAAAAAGGGTGACTAATAAAACAGCAAGGCTGGGGTTTGCTGCTGTTTTCAGAGCTTGCTATGAAAGAACAGAACCCATTTGTAAGGATTTTGAGCAACTGGATGATGGTCCTGCTCCAGGGCTGGATTATTTATTACAGAAGGAAAAATTCCCTATAGAAAGGAAGAGAATATTTGTTAGCAGAGTTGGGATGGTGAGACATCTACCACATGCAAACACCTGCAGCACACAACTTGCTTAAGCCAGAAGGGTCCAAGGGCTGCAGCAGGAGCAAGACAAACAAGGTTCAGGATCTGTTCCTGGCTCTTGCACAGGCTGGCTTGGAGACCTTGGCCAAGTCCCTTCTCTTCCTTGTGTTCCTGTTTGTAATAGGACAAGGGGAGTCTGTGGCTTTTGTGAAATGCTGTAGGAGCAAAAATAGGATTGTGATGAGGACAGTGACCAGCTGCTTGAAATGAATAGAGCCTTTGTGTGTGTGTGGGGGGGTGGTGTTCTTCTTTCTCCATTTTAGCTCCCAGTTATCTGTGCTTCCTCAGGGATTTGAGATGGGTCAGCAGTTGATCAAATGGCAGAACTGCCTGTCTCCTGTAGCTTACGTGCCATTGAGCGTTACCTGGATTTTAAATCCATTGCAAGGCCTTTGTCTCTGGCTTGGCAGCTCCATCCCCTTTTGGCTACTGAGGCAGGAGCCAACCCGTCCTGGTGGGGCAAGGATGTGCGAGGCTGCTGTGGGATGCACGGCTCTGCAGAAGAGCCTGGAGGTCACCAAACTGTTACCAGCGGCTGTTGGCAACTGCCGCCGGGTGCCGTGTTCCTGCGATTATAAACCTTTCGCTGCTCTGTGCTGGTGGCTGCTCGTGCTCAGGGGCTTGCTCCGCTCAGGCCTATTGGGTCGTTAGTCCATTGCAATGTGGGTGGTTGTGTAGCTGAGACTCCTGCAGTGATTCTGAGTGCTCAAGGGTTGTTTAGGGGTGTTTGAGGACAAACCCCACCAGAACCCTGGCAAAACGATTCCTGGTTGGCTAGATTGGAAAAAGAGTAAGACCAAAAACCTGCTTGGAAAATAATATTCTGCTTCACTCAGTTTGTTCTGTGGTGGAGACCAGTTTTGTAGCTGTGGACCACTTGGAGCTCCATGCTGTGCCGTGCTGTTCCGCAGGGCCAGCTTCT